GGCCAAGAAGAATTCCAAGTAACTATGACCCACACTTGTGTAAGATAGAGTTGTTCACTTGTTCCTAACTTGTAAACCCTTTGATTTTCCAGCGTCGTATAGATTGTTGATGTTTTTTAACTTCTACACTAAGCTGCTGAAGTTCATATTTGTTGAAGCCTTTAGTGTGTGTTACCACTATCATTATGAGGTTTTCTTGAAGTCATCTCCAGAACTCTTCTAGATTAGAATGAAATATTGACTCTGAACACATACTTGTAAACTAATAGTTGTTTTTACTGGATCTCCCAATCAATCTGATATTTCAGTGGAACTGTGCAAGCATTACTATGTTAATAGAGAGGACCATGAATATCAACCACACTTTTAGTCTTGAACAAAAAATAGTTTAGAGGCCTATGTGAGCCTTTGTCTATGATATATGAGGAAAATGTGCCATCTTAGACCTTGAATTTGAAAATAAATGATCTAAAACTGCACTTGAATTTAAAATAAATCTATGACCAAACATAAATGTGTGTATTGTTTGCAACACATTGGGCTTTCCGTCTTAGGATTTCGTTTTCCCCATTGCGCTTGAGTTTTTTGGGAAATTATCACAAATAAGCTCAAAAGTTAAAATTATATCACTTTTGTCACTCCCTAAATGTTTTTTCAACAATGGACTAACGTAGCTTTTCCTTTCAAAAATAGACATACTCTCTAACGGACCACTAGAGCCTCTATTCTTCATGTAGTACTGTAGTAGCAACGTACATATTTCTTCTCTCATTGATAAAGTAATACAAAGTGCAAGGATTGTTAATTTTTTTCTGGTTTTAGATAAAATGTAAAGTTCATCAAAAAATTAAAAGATAATAATAATAATAATAATAATAATAATAATAATAATAATAATTAAATACACAATAAAAGTCCAGGAACTAGGATTAAATTAAAAAACTCAAGGAAAAAAATTAAAATGTATAGTAAACAGTGCAAAATTGAAAACTGGTAAATTAGATTTTAAAATTTTAAATTTAAAAATCAGAAAAGTGTAAAGTAAACATATGGAAAATTTATAAAATATTAAAACTCGACAGTAAAATGTAAAAGAGTTTAAAATAGTGGAGAACTGAAAAAATTTGATTTTTCTATTGAAGTTTTGTTTAAATATTTTATAATTTTTATACAAAAAAGCTGCAGAAAATGTAAAATAATGATATATTTAATCAAACAAATTAAATAGTAAAAAATATGAACACCAAAAATTATAAATACAAAAAATAGAGGAAAACAATATTTGAATTTTATAAGTTTTTTGTTATATTAAAAAAATTAAGTATTATCACAATTTTGTTATTTACTCTTTGTTGCATTTTGTTTCTTTTTTTTCCAGTGTAAAATTAAAAATTACACATAACTTTTTAATTATTGTATATCATTTTATTGTTAGTTTTTTTCCTATCATTTATTTCTTTTTCTTTTTATTGATAATTCTGATTGTTTTTTTATTTTATTGTTTCTATATGTTTCTTGTTGTTTATATTTGTAAATTCAAACTTATCATTTTAGATTTGTATATAAATATATATAGATTTGTTTTTGAGGAAGTAGCAAAGGTAAATAGACACCTAAATAAACTAAAAACAATATATAATAATTAGCAACATGGTGAAACAAAAAGTAACATGATGCAACAAAATGAAACATAATGCAACAAAATATGATACATATGATACAACAAAAGGCAACAAAGATTTTTTAAAAAGTATTACAACAAAAAAGGGAAGCCAATTACTGATTCTTATCATTCAAAACAGGAACACCAACACCATAGAGCTGATCTTCTCTTCGTTTAATTTTGTTTTCCTTCCTTTTCAATTCAGCTTCCCAATTTGCCAGTTCATTCTCTTTTGTATTGGGAGCCTTCACGGAACCTAGTGGTATATCAACAATAGCATCATGCTTTTGGCCAAATCCAAAAGTATTAGCCAACATTTAAGAAAAGGGTGAACCTGATCTAGTAACAGTGCTGCCATTCGCAAATCAGCAAATGCATTGACTTCATAGCTTTGATGCACTTCTTCGTCAAATGCATTGTAATGCGATTTCATGGCTGATCTCCTAATTAACAATTTTGCAAAATGAGAGGGAGGGAGAGCTGTTGCGAGAGAAAGGCGGTGTGAAACAGGCTGATCTCCTATCTTTTGTTGAATTCAGACACTTCCTTTTGTGGTAATCCGCATCCATCCTTGCAAGCCGGTCTTGTTCTTTTCGTCTCATTTGTCGATACTACAACCAGAGAATACCCATCAGATGATCAGAACTCAAATTACTGATACCTTATAAGTCAAATCAACTAATCAAGTTAGTGGTTTATGACACAGAGAAAATATAATGTCGATTATTTTAATTTATACCCTCTTATTGATTAGAAGACACAACATGGTTACAAAGATTTTAACACCTCCTCTCCACTCCCCCTACCACACACATACAAATAAATGCACTAAAGAATATGAATGCCCAACATAGAGCTTATAATCCCAATTTTATGAATGAGAATTTGTTCCCTCCAGTCTCTTAACGGGTTGATACAACACAGGCATACCAATAACAGAGTCATAGGGAATAAGAGCACCCAAAACCTGCCAAGCACAAACACAACCCCAAAATGCAAAGCTTAAAAATAATTAAAAAGAAAACTAACACCCTTATCATCCACTTTGGTGAACAACAAACCAAAGTGAAAGTCAAGCACCATGAAATTAATCTAATGAATTATATTAACATTTTTCACTGATTTATTTAGATTGAAATGTAATGAAAATCATAAATTGATAATAATTAAACTATACGAGGTATTACCTATATAATAAAACAACCAAGCCTATAGTTAACATCAATGAATAAAAAAACACAAAAGAAGCTATGAATTTTTTACCCCTAAATGCACATTAGCAAAAAGGGATTACACAAAAGGAGAATGGACACAAAATTGTTGAAAAGAATAAAAAACAAAATTTATCTTATAATAGAAAACAGAACACAGAACACTATAAAATATTGCAAGGAAACCCCAAAGTACAGATCAAATAACCACATGACAGTGTAAAAGGCATCAAAAGGCCTCCACTAATAAACTTTAAATATCTAGGTGCATCAATCCATCATCTCTAATCAACAATAGAAGCATATGAACTAGGAGTCACTGGATGAATGAAAACTCATGAAATTTGACTATACGATATGAAGGTTTAGTGCATAAACAACATACTGTAACTTGGTGATGATTGGAGCTCGTTTACTCCTCAATCTGAGCCAATCGACCAGTTGCCTCAAGGGAAAATGCTTCATCCTCATTGCTTCACATCCTCACAACAGAATTTAACATTTGAAAAGCAATTTAACATTTGGTCTTAAGGTAATTGGAGTGAGAAAAAACAACTTAAATAACCTGGAATACCTCTTAGTACTTTGATGGAAAAACATTTTACGTCAAGTGTAGGTGCGCTAATTTGATGTTGAAGTTCGTCTCGAGAAGCGCCGATCGAAGTTCTTCAATGTTGTTGTCTGTGTGGTGCTTGTCGGTGCGCTAATTTGATGTTGAAGTTCTCGAGAATCGTTGTTCGAAGCTCAGGAGGGGCCACCGTCCAGTTGCCGTCGAAAGCTAATGTCGTCAAAGGCCTGATCTGATTTACCTACTTATTTTAGAGAAGAAGAAGAGATTTCTGGTTGAGATTTTGCCAAGGAGATGATTTGTCATCCGTTTGCGAAGAACATACGGGAGACAGTTGCTGGGGATTCCTAATCCTCCATCTCCAGAATAAAATAGCTCCATGGACGGTGCCGCTCCTGAGAAGAGAGTTGGGACTCGTTGCCGCTCTCCAAACTTCCCAGCGGCTGTTGCAAAAGGGAAGAGAAACGGTAAATAGGAAATTGATTTGCATCTCTCCAGTGATATACAGAAGAGGAGGTGGACAGAAACCTAGTCTAAAATTGAAATAAAAAAACATAATTGAAAACAAAAAAGATTAAAAGTGAAAGGGAAAAACAGTTGGGACATTAATGATATACGGGCCACAAAATGGCTTAAACGGGTAATTTCCACGAGTTTTTTTGCATAACGATCCATTTAAAACACATTGACTTTGTGCATTTTGGCATGACATTTTTAAAGTGATTTCAATTTTGTCTGAATTGCTTCATTCCATTTTGATCAATCATGTCCTCATCGATACTATCTAAAATTGGTTCATTGCCATTATTTTCATTCACGACATTCATAACAATAACATAGACAAATATCTCATTAATATTAATAGCTTTTTGATTTCATTGCATTCCAATAGAAACATAGTTTATTGAGATTTCATAACTATCAATGTTTCCATCATTATTTGGAATATCTTTCTCATTTGAGAAGGTTGGATTATCGATCTTTTGAAATGTTTCTATTATTGATGCCGTGCTCTATGTCAATGGTTTAGTTTTGTTCATTTTTGTATCCAGAATGTCAATGTTTCAGTATATATTGACCTTATGTCTTTTGAACCAATTGGTGTGTCACACTTTTTTGCATATAAAAGAATCATTATTGAGAGATTTGAGTTTTTTTTCGAATTAATGCTAATTAATTAATTAATTACGAAAATAATGCTGGGAAGAAAGTTATTACCGATCTACTGCTGGCCTTAACCACGGTCAGGGGTAAGTCGCCCAACCGTTGGGAGACTTACCCCTGATATATGACCGAAGACCAGCAGCTACTACCAGCCACGCACGATCGTGCGTACCCTGGGACGCATGATCGTGCCTAAGTCCGAAAACAGCATTTCACCAGGTTTTTCGGTCCAGTTCAACCCGGACTCATCTGTTTGCTATAAATAAGGTCTCTCTTCTCCTGTTTAAGTGTTACGAGCCAGATACAACACATTATAAAACATACAACACACGTCTTCACAATCACATACATAACACCTACTCTCAACAACATAAAAAACACCTTGAAAATACTCTTTGCAAATCAAATACAAAACCTTACATTCATAACCGGTATAACACAGTACAATCATCCAATACTCATAACAAGTAATCATCTAATATTCATACTCGAACACATCAAGACAACATACAAGACTTTACAAAAGAAAATACGTCAAATGTTGTAAATTGTTCCTACAACATCTACTGTATAAGAAAAAATGCAATACAAAAGACAAACTACAAGTTCCCATCGTCAGCTTCGTCATGGAGATGTTGTTGCTCATGTCTACGCCTACGCCGTTGTCGTGGTTGAAGAACCACTCTCTCATGCTGCGTCTGGGATGATGAAGCTGCCGCTGCACTAGATGTGGATGGCATCTCCTGAGATGGGGGCATGTGTATAAGATGGCCGTAGTCGACTCGCCCCAACACATCTGAACACAAGGAGGAAATGCCTGTCAGAGCCTGTCCATACATGTCCACATCATGACTATCAGTCACTGTGGCAGTAGCCCGCTGATGTATGCGCTGCAAAGCTCGTGTCTGAAATATGAAACACGATTACAATTACATTGAAATACATACAAATATTACATAAATAAAATGACTTACTTTACTAATTACTAATATACTCATCGTAAGATGCAAAGCCAAGGAGCTAGGCTGATAATGATGAGTAGGGAGTCTGAACGAAGGAGACACAAACAAACGAGTGATGCTGTAATACCATCCCATGTAGTCTCCTGAAACAGATGGGACAAATGTCGGTGTCCCAGCCACAACTAGCTCAGCTCGCCTTTCCCACATAGTGACGTATCGGACATGTCTGAGTGACCAATCCTCTGTATGCTTCCCAGGCCTATCCAGCCTATGCAGCTCAACATAAGTGTCGATAGGCCGTGGAATGACCTGCTCAAACCCAAACTGTCGCAACACTCTATCAGGAAAATGAAGCTCAACAATGTCAAAACATATCAACGGCACACGTGCTCGCCATATGTGAGTATGCTCTCGTCCAGCTGGGGGCAACTCTGCTAACATCTCAGGTGTAAACGGAATCCATGTAATCTGTTTCATAAAGATACAAAATTAGGAGATTTTCTATACATATTATAGTTAATGTTATATTACCCACACCATACCTGATCCTCAGACATCCGATCAAATGCATCCCTGTACACACCGAGCCCAGTAGCGGATGACATGCGAGATAGACCAGCATATAGCCATCTAACCATTCATGTAACAGTATCATTAATATGGATATTATTAATATATTTACATTCAACATACAATCACATAAATACCAACGATTGAAAACATACCGACGGCCTAGAGGGTCCTCGCCCCGTACATGATGTGGTCCTAGAAGACGTGGAGGCTCATCAGGCAGTGGGTGTCCATCAATGCCACGATATGCGACTATAATGGGACGCCCAATGTGGATATACTCCCATGACCAAATCTGAAGTAGCAAAAATCACCCAAGCTCTGTGCTCCCTCTCTGGCAGCCGCGACAAAGCTGTCTGTACAGATAAGCCAGCGTGGCACTACCCCAGCTCAACTGTGCTGCCACATCAAACCTCTCTAGCAAAGTCAAGTGCAGCACCTGAATCTCATTTCCGCTCTTGTCAGCGAAAATGGAGGCTCCCATCATCATCAATATATATGCCCGGGCATGCTGCTGGATCATCACCTCATCAGCGTCTGGAGGAAGCACCTGGAAGTGCTCCCTCAACCATGGCATCCTCAGAGATGACCCCTGAAGGTCAGTCCTAAGAACGGGGCGGATACCTAACAACCACTCACACTCATCTACCCACTGTCGACAAGCAGTGCCTGTAACAGCTCTCCCATGAACCTCTAACCTGGTAAGTACAGCAACATCTCCCAATGTCACTGTCACCTCACCAACAGGGAGGTGAAATGAGTGTGTCTCCTGCCTCCAACGCTCAAGTAGAGCAGTGAGAAGCGCTCTATCTAGAGGCACAGTAGCCACTAATCTGTGCAGAGTATAAAAACCCGCAGCACCAACATAGGCTAGTACTTTGTCGTCGACGTGCAAATGCGACAAACCCCGCAGGTGCTCGCGGCACCTATCCACCTGAACATCCATGCCAAGCCAAACATCCTCACTCCTGTGCGAGGCCTGCAATGTCAAGACAGAACGATCACTCGGCCCAGGATCCGCTGTCACCTCCATGCCTACAAACAAACAAAATTGTATTAGTTATTATTCAATAATATATTAATTCTTTTTTTTTTACATCCTTTTTTGAAATTATTATTTTTTCTTGCAACGAAAACATGAATTGTGATTGACGCTAAATAGAACCTTACCCAGCGGACCCCCCTCGTGTCTAGACGATCTCTTCGCACATGTGGCTCTATTATGGCCGGTTTGGTGGCATTTTCCACATCTAACCGTTCCTCGTGGACCTTCATCCATCTCATTCTTAATACGTGTCGACTTTGGTCTTCTTTTAGCCCGAAGCATGGATGGATCGTGCACAATTTCGGGTCCATTGTAAGTAGGCCAATAATCACGATCAGGAATCGGTTTGAAGACTCTATGATAAGTGGTGGCATATTGGTCAGATGAGAAAAACTTATCCACAAATGGAGCATAAGACAAACTACGTTGTCTACACACGGCTAACACATGAGAGCATGGAATCTTATATATCTCCATCTTTTTACAAGTGCAAGTTTTCCGTTGTAGATGGACAATTTGTTTTCTCCCACCCTTTCCCAACGTTCGGCCACCACAACCGGTTTCCACTTGAAATATACCTCGGCCTAAATCAAATGGAGTGACACTATGATGCTTTGCCTTCTCTCTATTTTTATCAATTAAATCTGTGATGTGTGGGGAGTACTCGTGGCCTTGTGTGAGCCTCATTTTACTGGTTTCACGCCTATTAACAAAATAAGCATTAACCCGGTAAAAAGAAACCTGGACCAAGGCGGTGATGGGCAAATATCTAGCATTTTTCATGACGTTATTGAAAATCTCTGCCAGATTAGAAGTGATGGTACCGTATCTGTACCCGCCATCGTGGTGAAGTGACCACATTTCCGGGGGAATGTTGGCCAAAAATTGTCGTGCCTCCAAATTCATTTCACCTATCTTCTTGAACCCACCATCATATTTCTTTTTCTGATGTTGCCGTGCGGTCCAGACAAAAAGATTTTTTAGATGAATGTCTTTGAAATGAGTGTGCACATTTGATGCAAGATGGCGGATACATAGCCTATGATACGCATAAGGCTCCTCCCAAGTACTGTCCACCTCATTCATTGCCCTGACAATACCTCCATGTCTATCAGAAATGACACACAATTCCCTATTAGTGACAAACTGCCTAATACACATAAACCATGGCCAACTATCTCCATTCTCAGATTCAACAACTGCAAAGGCCACTGGAAATATTTGGTTGTTCGCATCACAACCCATGGCCACGAGCAATGTACCCTTGTACTTTCCATACAAGTGTGTGCCATCAATAGTAAGTACGGGTCGACAATGCTTGAAACCATGTATTGATGCCTTGAATGCCCAAAAAACTCTTTGAAACTGCATATAACCTGTGGGAGTATTGGGGGGTGGGTACCACTGCACAACAGTTCCAGGATTTGAATGTTGGAGCGCTGTCATGAAACGGGACAATTCAGAATATGACTTCTCCCAACCGCCAAATATTTCTGCTATGGCCTTTTGCTTCCCCATCCATGTTCTCCGGTATGATACCGTATACCCATATTTTTCCTTCAGCATCTCAATGATAGTATGCACTTTAAGGGAAGGATCAGTGCGAACAATGTCAATCACATCTTTAGAGATGAAATCTGAAGTCAAAGCCACGTGATTTGTAGTGTCGGTGTTGCCAACGCACGAAGCAGGATGAGGTCCAGGATAACGCACAATTGTGAAGGTGTCAAGCTTGCCTTTGTTCTTTGTGGCGCGTATTCTCTAGGGGCAATCACATTCTTTCTTCCTTTTGCATTGTGCCACCCATTTGTGTTTATCGGACTCTATCACCCGATAAAATTGGTTCCGTTTGATAGAATACAAGCTCACCATATTGATGACTTGTTCTTTATTGTCAAACTGTTGACCGACCTCAAACTCACCATCGAGGGTAAACCTTTTCTCACCTGATCCACGCATCCACGCATCAGTAAAGCCTTCAGGGAGATCATACATTCTAGTAAAGTGGCTAGACGGGGCAGTTGTCGTGACAGTATCACCATCATCTTCATCAGATTCTGTCATGTCATCACCATTGATGTTCTCGTCAGCATCATCATCACTTCCCTGCTCATTCACAAATGATGCACCGTTGTACAAATACCTACCATCTTCCTGTATAACCATGTCCAGTACAGGAGCCTTTGAGGAGTTCCCTGCATTGACATCATGCCTAAATACAACAGCATTTGATGTTGATTGAGTAGCATAAGCGTCACAGCATTCCTCAATGTAGATCTCAAGCGTCGACATATCCTCCATCTGAATTATGCCCCACATATTTGTTATAGCTGGCTCATCAATGAGCGGCATAAGCATGTACTTTCCCCCGTTCATGGGAAATTTCATTTTCAACCGCAAAGAACGGTCGGGATGAATCATTGTGGTTGCATGTATTTTTTGAAGGATCTCGAGCATGCAAGCGCCACGAGAAACCATGACAAAGCTGGTTCTACCACCTTCATGGCATATTTGCCCACCATTCTCATAATAGTTCCCTCCCCAATGACACACGAGTGGGAAGCTTGAGAAATCCATATTCTAATAACAATTCATTGTCCAACATTCATGAGTAGGCATCAATATACACACTTTATACACATTCAAATTTTCAACAGAAAAAGCTACCAAAATAGTAATATATCCAAAAGTCAAATTTCACAAACAATTCACATTTCAATATGAAACTACCCAAATTTTGATATCTACATTCAATGTCTACCTTTCAATACCCAAATTTAGCTACATTCAAGTCTACCCAAATGCCCAAATGTCAAAATACACATTAAAATTTACAATCAATTTAAAATCAAATTTCAACATTTCATACATATCCACATTTCACAACAACTGAATTCACAATCAATTCATAATCCAAAAATTTGAAATTTATTAGATTCAAAACCCTAAGTTCAAAATGAGATGAAATGGAGTTTGAATTACCTAAAACAAAGAAGAAAGAGTGATGAAGATGGAGAAGGAGGTTCGCCGGAATGAGGTCGCCGGAGAAGGAGGTTCGCCGGAGCTGGAGATGGCTCGTCCTTCGTCGCTCGTCGCTCGTCCGTCGTCGCTGCAGCAGAGGGTTGGGGGGATTTGGGGAATAAACGCGTTCTGTCTGCGAGCCAACCCGTCTGCCTATTTAATAGGTAAGTCGCCCAACGGTTGGGCGACTTACCCCGACCCTGGTTAACCCAGCAGTATATTGGTAAATACTTTTAACCCAACCCTATTTTCGTAATTATTTAATTAATTAACATTAATTAGGAAAAAATCTCGAGAGATTTTCTAGAATGACGTTTTCATTTTTGACATTAACTAGACCAATAAGTGTAAGAAAGATGCAGAAGATGATAATGATCTTATTTGGCAACCGGCCGTTAGCTGGTTATGACAGTTGATTGGAAATAGCTAATTGTGCCGGCTATTTTGATTGGTTGATTATGTTAGCTGATTGTCAGCAAATGTTTAGTAAATTAGCTGTTTCAGAATAGTTGTTTGTGTGTAAAAAACATATATGGACATTAGTATCTAATTTTATATAATTTTATATAAACCATTCATTCTACATGTTGAGGTTAATTCCGGGAGATCCAAAGGCCCAAAAAGACAAACCTTTGGATATCAAGAGTGCTTTTCAATAGAAAGTGGTTAAGAAAATAATTCAACTAATCAAATGACTCAATAGCTCAATGTATTAGAATAATAGTGATGATTACAAGGAAAAGACCGAACGAGAGTTACGGTCTAATTGCTAATACAAGAGCTAGAGTGAAGTATAATATTGCTGAGTATTAAAATGATAACCCTTTACAATGGAATTAATGCTACTATTTATACTAGTGGTGAGTAAGTGAGATGGATGACGTGGCAAGCTCTCAACGACTGACCCCTTGCCACTTGCAGCACCCATGCCTCCACTTGAGCGCCCATACTTCTGCAGTAAATGCGTCCCCGCCACTTGCAAGGCTTCCTCGATTGGTACTTTAGGCCAGTGTAATCAGCAACCAAGAATGATGCTTTTTATCCGTCAACTATGGAAACTGACCCGTTCGAGAGATACCGAACGGTTCATACCCGGTGGGTGAGAACCCGTTCGGGAACCACCCGGCATTGCATTGGGCTCCATTGCCTCTTTAGGTTTTAAGAATACTTTGGGTCGGGTCACTGGACCGGACCCTAATATCCCAACACTACATATTTTAGAAATTTTAGGGCATTCGTGGAATATACTGACTTTGTTTGATAATTTATAACTCACTTTTAGGGTTAGAAATTGATATTATTCGCAATTTCGCATAGGTTACCTTTAAAATCATACTACGTGTTATATTAATACAAGGCCCAAATAAAATATATCATCCGATAATTACTAACATCAATTAACTACACGTTCATTCTACTAACTAAAAGTCTAAAAGCCTACCATTTAAAAACGACGGTGTAGAAGAGTAGAGAGCTTCACATCCAATTGCTCAAAACGTGAGCACTAAAAAAGAAAAATTTCAAGAAGCGGCAAATATTAAGTAGAAGGGCACAATTGGATTTAATCAATCAGCCAGTTGGAACTTGGAAACGCTGCCATGCTCAACGTTTTTCATTTTGGTTTTTTGTGTTCGAATAGCTGAGGGAATAATCTGTTTGCCAAACAATAAAATAGATTGTTGGGACAGTCAAATCAACTAATTTTGGTGAAAGAAGCTGAAAATTGGCTAATCAGTTGTTTGCCAAACGCAGCCAATGTCATTTTTTTGGCCATAATATCTTCTCATTAGCATGATGTAAAATATATTGTCTCAACTCCACCAAAATTGAAGTATGAGGTAGTTACATCGTCAATAAATAGAGTGAAATTATGCGATTAATATTAAATTGACAAAGTATGAATAAAAGAACATTAATTAAAACCACACTAATATAAATTTATGATGTTGGACAAACATAATGGGGCAATGAGTATAATGCACATAGGAAGTACATGTGATAGAAGATAAAAGATTTTAGGAGGGGGAGGAATGAGGGGTGCGATCGAGGGTTTTACATCGCAACAAGAGGAATCGCCGTATTGCCCGAACTGCATTCGATCGAGGCCTTGGCAAGATCAGGACAGATTCGGGCGTCCACAATTCACACATGGATCCTGTCACCGATGGCGTGCAGCGGAAAAACATCACAGAGGCCGGACGTCGAGGGACTGGAATCGTCCTCATCCGACTCCGAGGCAGAGATACTTGGACTTCTTCTCCGGCTACCAGCACAGCAGCATCGGAAAGCACGGCTACATCAGGGATACTATTGAACGGCCTCAGTGCAGATTTCAATCTCTTGCCCAGAATCGTGCTTCTCTCCATTTTCGTACTCCAAATCAGCCGGCCTGGAGATGTAATCAAAGACAGAGGACATGGGGTTCTTGGGAGGTGGAGTATGTACATCCCATTTCTCAAACTCAAACTCCAGATTCTCCCTCACAAATTGGGTATGAGGTTACAATTGAAAGCAAAAATTTTCAATTTACTATTAATGATTGTAACCTTTTGCGAATATCCGAAAGGAAGAAGGGAATCATATCTGCCATTGACCTTGATTTAGCTAAAGCTATTTGGTTAAAGAATTCCATTCTCAAAATTTTACCGGGGAAATTTGGAACTAGGTGTGAATTGAATAAATCTATTATCATGCTCTACGATGCAAATCTGTTTGGAGGTTTTATTCGCATAATTGAGAATGGAAATGATAATTTGTTTATTCCTGAAGGTCGGAATGGATTAGGGTTCAGTTTTTTTCTCACAGGAGTTACAAAATCAATTGCTTTGATGGAAGAAATGGTTGCTAAAAGATCAATGGAGATTGAACATGCTACTAGGGATGACTTTTCAGTTAAAATGAGTAGCAACTTCGAATTGGAGCTTCTGAACTTGGACCGTGCTTTTCCTTATTGTGATGAATTTACATCTTCCATTTCAAGTGTCTTAATGCAAGCTGATATTGATCAATTAATAGATCATGCACTAGATTTGGTTTATGTTGAGGATGTTCAGTGCTCGGATAACACTTCAAGGGGTGCTGTTGTGATTCAAAATACTTCACAGGGGGCATTTACTTTTGAATCCAAAGAGATAGATGAGGCAGATATCCTAGAAACTACTCCTCTCCAAGTTTCTTTCACTGAAACTCTTTTAGCAGATGAAATGGTTTCTCCTCAAACTGCAGTTTTGGAACTGATTGCTTCGGGTGGAAACGATCTTGAAGTTACACCTATTCAAAGGGTACTTTCTGATCGTGAGCTACTAGATAGGGTTGCTGACACTGAATGGGACTCGGCCAGTTCAAGATTGCTACCTCGACGGAGTACTTGTCTCAAGGCTAAAAAATTGGCTGGAACTTAGGATCGCTTTGGATATTTTGGGGATTTCAAATCATCTCTTTCGACCGGGCAACTCAATACAATTCGACGGGGAGCTAATCGCTTTTACTTTAGGGTTTTGCATGGCCTTTGGGATTGTTCACTTAGCTTATTAGCGTTTTTGTTTCTTTCATCTTCTTTTTGTACCCTTCTTAATAAATTTAATAAAGTATCAAATTGCTGACTAAAAAAAAAGATAAAAGATTTTAATTTTTTTTTAAAAAAAAATGCACATAGAAGATGGAGAGTGGAAATTAAAGGTGAGGGTGGGAGTCTGGGAGAGTGGGAGATGGAGGAGCCAATGCAGGATGCAAGGTATTGTAGTCCCTCTTACTTCAGATCCGATCTCTTTTTTTCATTTCACTCAAAAGTCCATACTATTTTTTTTGTCAAATTTTCTCTTTTAACTTGCTATTACCTTGTCTCGTTATACCTCATTAAACCCCCTTAAAAAATAGGAAATTTGCCATTTAGATTTATTTATAAGAAAAATAAGTGATATAGTTTATAAGTTTATTTTTAAATGTAATGAGATATTATTAGGATAAAGAACTGTTCCTTAATGATGACCCGAACCTTGATTGAATGGATCGAGTTAATTGCTTCTTTCACACTGCTGGATTGGACCGACCCTCTACTGGTCTGGGCTAATTAATGGTTATGGATTGCACCATGCGCATTGGCTATTATGAATGTTTTTACTTGGACAAAAATTTGTTGGTCTAGTCTAGTTTGTTGAGGTCTGGTGTGTTTCAATCTAATCTAATCTGGGATTGAAAATAGTCCAAACAAAAACATCTTATATCTCAACAAATATGATACAATAACAGGAGCATTCAAATAGTCTTCCAAACATCCAATCAGATGAACATGAGGCAAGTGAAATGTGAAGGTTAAAATAATCAAGTCATTTAGCGATCCTACATTCCTACCAAAAACCTCAACAATTTTCTTGAGAGCTCTGCTATGAACCTGAATACTCGCGAAATTAATTTGTTAAGAGTGATTTCTTGTGTGCAGTGATGTATAGATGATAGTAGAAACTCCGCGAATTGTTCGAGCGACTTGAATTTACATCTATCAAAGGTTAGGGGTGGGTTCTTGAAAGCACATGATTAACCCGGCGAAGTTGAGATCATCTGGCGTTAACAAAAAAAAATGTGAAAATGTTGCTCTGTATATAGATTGTTAAAATGAAAAAGTTTTTATATGTACTCGCTTCTCATTGTTTAAGCAAACAAGTTCTGTACTTTTCTGTACTATATTTTTTGTCGGATCATATGTAGGTCCCTAGGTTCGTAACAAACTAACAACTTTTTTCAAATATTAATGAAAATCTTAATTCCCCATTTCCATGCAGTTTTCTATAGTAGTTCAACTTAATTAAAGAAGAAATATGTTGACAGTATACCCAAACCAAACCAGCACTGTACCACCTAAGTCCTAACTATGGTTCTAGCAAATGGAGGACCGGAACCTCCGAAATTTGAACAACACTTGAACCGAGCCCACCCTACTCCAAATTGCACAATTCCAAAAGGAGAACTTTGAAGATAAAAAATCCTTCAAAGGGATATTTACGATGGTCTATATATTTCATAAAAAGTTTACAAACAGAAAAGAGGTGGGTAGATACCCATTATTACCAATAGACGAGCCTAATATACACTGAAAGTATATATGTATTGCAAGAAATCGAGGATGGGGGGAGTTGGGCATAACCAGATTGGGGATTCGATGAAAACAAAGGCGAGTATACTGTTTTCCAGTCTATATACCTCGAAAGCTATCAGTTTTATCAAGCTTGGAAGTACCAGAGCTCGAAGATTCTCCCATTATGTCAGGAGAAGATGCCACACGGGACTCCCTCTTCAAAGTTGTTGGCAAGCTTGAAATTTCCTGAATCATTTCCAAAGGTATTCACAGAGTTACACAGCATACCCAAAGCAAAATCAATATAACTATTGAAGAAAAGTGTATGATAAACATTCAAGAATTAAAAAAAAACGGAAAGAGGAAAGAAGGACTTTGAGGAAGACAACATTGATGATGATCGATGGTTAGAGTGAGTGTGGTTAGAGAAAGAAATTGAGAGCTGTGAATTGATTCAAGAGTGAAGAGTGCATAATAGGGGCGGAACAGGTCCCAGTCACAGTTCCGGAAACAGACCAGACAAGACGTTTTTGCACAAACCCCGGCCACTTTTACTGTTCAGCACCTTGTAACTGGTCATAATCTGGCCTGAGAACTGGCTGGATCTGTTCTGCTTCCTCAAACTATGACCTGACCTGTCCATACCTGTTCTGTTTTTAAAGAGAAAAATGAGCTCAAAACGGACCCCAGAAGCAGACCAGGATCGTCCTGGTATACCCAGTTGCGGTTTCACCATTTCGGCCTTTCCATGACAGGGAACCTGAGCTGGACCTGGTCCACCCCTAGCGTAAAGTTTAAAACATATCCTCCTCTATAGACCAGAGAGGCATTCATAGAGAACCAATACAATGCTAGGTTACCGTTTAAAGAAATCGCCCCTCTGCACTCCACTAGGACAGTCTAACACATTAACCATTGACCAACAAGTGTGCTCCAAGTGTTTAACCAGGTTAGCAGATGGACACGTGGAACACATGGTTTCTAAGTGTTTTGACCAGAAAATGAACTCGTGCAAGAAAAGCTTCTGGCAAGGAGTCTGGGGTCTCAGTCTCCTTGCTGGCAAAGGAATTCCTTGCCAACCAGGGATCTCTAAGATCAGCCTAATACTTGGAACTCAACACTTAAGAGCCGAAGGGTTTTTGGGCTCATGACTAAATGCCTAAAGCTACGTAGACACTGGGGTCCAGATGATAATACTATTCTGTTGTTACCTTCATCAAGTGCATCCTTAAGTCACAAGGCCGGACTTGATTCCCAATGCACGCCATGACAAACCTTGAATATTGAGACAGTACATCTGCAGCAGCTTGTTTCTTTAGCTCAGTCTGCAAATAAATACAAATATATCAAGCAACAGATAAAATATTTTATTTTCAACACCTGGTCTCAAAACTTGGTGGGTAATAAAAATGAAATGATCTTCTCTAACACAGTCCCACATACACACCCTTTTAACAAACATTATAACTACAGAAGTTCATCGCATCAAGGTTGTCACGGACTTGTTACATGCAAAAATCATGACAAGGTGCTACTGCCGTAATATTGATATACGGAGAATGGGTGAATACAAGTTTTGGCTGAAATTGATTAGATGTGTGCTTCTTAGTATGGATTGTGTATTATCAACTAAAAGATTAGGCATAAACCCATAAACAGCACTATTGACAATAGCAAAAAAAATACGTAGTACAAGTAAAAGCTGTACTCCATATATATATGAATTTTAAGAAAGCAAATTTGTAAAGTCATCTAAACCACACAAACTGAAACCAAAGATGAGAAACCAGCAACTTTGAGGAGTAAGAATCAAATAGAAGCTGAAAACCCTAAACAGATGGTCTGCAGTGTTATTAGAAAAGCTATGCTAGACAAGCATCTCAAGCTTTAGGTAAAATCAGTAAGTAATCCTATTTTGATCGACTGGTTACAACGGAACCAACCTCATATCTCAAAAGGCGCAAAATAATTCGATCAATTTGTAACATAACAAAAAAAAAAGATGGTTAAAAAATTACAACACCAGAATCTTGAAGCGCAAAACGAGAACAATAGTTAAGGTTTCCGAACAGAATATAAAGTTACGGTTTTGTCAAACTGAAAGGCATACAAAGCGATTGAAGACGATAGGTATGATCATTGTCTACTTACCTCGTAGTCGTCCTTCATAGCTGAATCTGATTTCTCGGACTCGAGTGTTTTAGCGTATAACACCCATATTACCATCTCTTTTTACTTGGAAATATAATTAGTTATGTTGGACAACATTGCAACTTGGCCTATTAGCTCAGTTGGTTAGAGCGTCGTGCTAATAACGCGAAGGTCGCAGGTTCGAGACCTGCATGGGCCAACAGTTATTTTTTGTGGTTTTTCACATTTTTCTTTTTGTCAAGGAAATGGTTAATGGTGATTATTCATGAAATGATGTTACAAATACTAGATTTTGGATAATAAATATTTTTGTCAAAAATATTTTGATAAGTATTTTGATAATATAAAAAAAATTTGTGATAAATATAGATCAATGTATATATTATTTCTAACAAAAGTAAATAAAGATTTTAAAAATTACAAGTTATTATATACTTCCTTGTAAATCACATTTAAACTCTTCTTGACCAGTTTTCCATCTTCATCACATATAACAACCTTCAGCCCAAATGTAGACGTTACTCTTAAGACTGCGGCATAAGGTTGTCCATGGATGAAAACCGAACGACATAAGAAAACATCAACCCTCTCCAAAGATTGTCCCTGAAATGTGAATGACAGCTTTAGGTCGAATGGAATCAAGATAAGCTTCGAAATAAGAAATTTTTGTCCTGCATCTATTCTAGACATCATCTGAGCCTCGAGAATATGGGTTCCAAGTTTAGTCTTGATGGAGTATATGGCCCAGGAACCCCCGGCCCATTGACTCCTACTTTCCCCACAAAGGCCCATTGAGCCCAAGGAACATATGAGGCCCAAATACAGCGGCCCAAGTCTTCAAGAAGCCCAAAGTACACACGGGGATGCCTTCGACCACCTTGGCCGAAGGCTCCAAAACTCACAGCATGAACTTTTTTGGCATGCAAAGTTACTGGGAGAAAACGACGGAAAACAGGAGCCTTCGGCACTGTTGAGCCCTCGACATCAGAGAAGCCTTCGGCCACATGAAGCCTTCGTCTACGCGAGGAGCCTTCGGCCAAACAGGCTCAATCATCGAAGATTCCCTTTGAAGACAGCCAACCATCGCATTTAATGCAACGTCACATCCACCAACCGCATTCAATGCGGTGAACATGCCACTGCCGGTGCCACCCGATTGATGTGACCCCTCGGCCGTTGGATTACTGACACGTGTACTCTCATCGCATTTATTGCTGCTATAAATAGCAACCCATTTCTCCTTGTAAACGATGCCAGATCTCACATCTCGAGTTCATTTAATACAATCGACTCTCTCTCCTCCTATTTACTCTGACTTCTCTCTAAGTTATTCCCGCAATAACCCCTCGGATAAGATACCCCCCGGGTAGACTATCCATCATTTGGTGCTCTCGTTGAGAGGTCTGAACAATCAAGTAAGAAACCCTCCCCCTCCACCAAACACATAACACCTACCGAAAATGGGAAAAACTCGTGCCCAATCCAAAACCCTCGAGGAGAACCACGTAGCCCCCGGCAAAACCAATGGGGCTGAAGCCTCCAACAGACACTTAGTACCCGAAGGCGGTACCATCCTCGAATTAGAGCAGGCCGCTACTGACCTCCGTCAGCAGCTACAGAAGAACGCCCCCGATGCCCGCATTGGCCTTGATAATCGAAGGAGGGATCGGAGTGAGAACCAAGTTCCCCCTCCGCCCCGGCCATCGATCTTCAGGCTGCCTTTGCGGCCTTTGTCCAAAACATGGCTCTCAATCCTGGAGCCTTCGTCTCTCAGGCGCCCCTCCAGCCCTATGCTGGAGGAAATGTTGTCCATTTTCCGCCACTCCCTCCTCTGTTCAACAATCCTCCCCTGGGGATTGGCAACGCCGAGGGGGTCATGGTGCAAGACACCGCCTCCCAAGAGGCCCAAGTACAGCGGCCCAAGTCTCAAAGAAACCCAAAGTACACTCTGGGATGCCTTCGGCCTCCTTGGCCGAAGGCTCCAAAACTCACTGCGTAGCCTTTTTTGGGCATACGAAGCTACTGGGAGAAAACGGCAGAAAACAAGAGCCTTCGGCACTGTTGAGCCCTCGGCGTCAGAGAAGCCTCCGGCTACACAAAGCCCTCGGCTGAGTGAAGCCCTCGGCTTCATGAAGAGCCTTCGGCTAAACAGACTCAATCATCGAAGATGCCCTTTGGAGATAGCCAACCACCGCATTTAATGCGACGTCACATCCACCCACCGCATTCAATGCGGTGAACATGCCACTGCCGGTGCCACCACGATTGACGTGACCCCTCGGCCGTTGGATTGTTGACATGTGTACTCTCATCGCATTTATTGCTGCTATAAATAGCAGCCCTTATTCTCCTTGTAAACCACGATGAGTTCATTTTAATAAAATTGACTCTCTCTCCTCCTATTTGCTCTGACTTCTCTCTAGTTATTCCCGCAATAACCCCTCGGATAAGATACCCCCCGGGTAGACTATCCATCAAGTCTCTATAAGGCGAGTGGCATTGCACAATCCAGCGGAATGATCAATATTTCTCATTAACATCACATGTGCACTAACTTTTCAGATTCAACTCATGGTTTGGCACACCCTACCAAAGCATTTAATGGTATTGAATTGGGAAATTTTGGAGAGTTGATCTCTTGAGAGAGTGTGTTGTCTGAATCAGAAGATGCTGAATCTAAGTTTAAGTACTCCCTCCGGTCTTATCAAAGTTCTCAGTTTGACTTCACACAGATTAAGAAAATAAATTTGACTTTACTGTGGAGTGCACTGTTTGGCACTGTTTGGACACTGTTTGGCACTGTTTGGCACTATTTTGCACTGTTTTGTTTCCTAAAATGGAAGTGTGAACTTAAATAAGGGACATCCCGAAAAGGAAAGTGAGAACTTTAATAAGGACCGGAGGGAGTATGCGTTACCTCACCTGAAGTCAGTCCCAACATGTAATCGTTGATCTTCTCATGTTGATCAATAGTTGACGCAAGAATTGCCCAAGAATTCAAATAACAAATGTCATTATAATGTATTTCAAAATCGGGATAGGTGGTCTTAACAATATCTTCAATTGGATCATCCATCATAGGGGCAATAAATTTTTCAAGGATGTCAACCATTGATTCTCCATAATCACCGTCCCTTAAGACCTCATCTCCAATCTTCAAAATCCACCCCACAATGTTTTGAATCTCAAATATGATCAAAGTAAGAACCATTCACAACCACCCAAATTTTATCGAATTTGGTATGGGGCAATCTTAGTAGGCGGAGCGAGAAAAAATAAGACAATCTTAGCGGGACGGAGAGAGTATAATAGAAGTTTAACTTTTTAATTCATAGGCATTGCCCATTTTCTTCTGGTGAATGAAATTCAGACTTAATGACATAAATGACACTCCAACTAATAGTAACAATGGGTTTTGTTACTTCAACCATTGGCAGATGCAAAATTCCCGAAAGAAGGGAGTAGTGTAAAGCAAATACATACTAATACGTAGTGATATATTACTACGTAGAACTTTGGAGTATACATATTCTAAGTAGAAAAAAATTGGGGGTGGCAGCCACCACATACCCTTCTTTGTGTATAGCACTGGTCTTCAACTATTTAGTGAAACAAATCAATCTCCAAACCATTCTAAAATGTTTCAATTTATGGTACTTCATTTGAAATTTGATTTTGATCCTATTTTACGCTTTTGAATTCAAATCCACACCCTATTTTGAAATCATGAATAGTTACACAACATTACAAAATGTTAAGGAGGTTTAGCAATATAATTGTTGTCTGGTCAATCATTATTTTTTAAATGTTACTACTTCTGTCCCGTTGAAAGGTTCTCATGACAAAATGATATGGTTATATTTTGAGAAACAATTTTAATAGGTAAATAATATAATGTATCTAATGTTGACAATTGTGATGCTATAAATGTTTTATTTTCAGTATTTAATTATTAATTTATCATTCAAGATTGTTATTTATTTCCTAAAATGGAAATGAGTATCTTTATATGTAACATCCAAATTAAAATGAAAGTGAGAATCTTTCTATGGAACAAAGGAAGTATAAATTTTGAGAAAAAGTGAGCATAAACTTTTTTGAAAAAAAAAATGCGCCAAACGTACTCATTTTTTCTTTCTCAAATTTCCCGTCTATTTCAAACAAAGTTAAATAGTTTTCATAACATTTAGTAGCCGCTTGGTAATATCAAAATCGACTGATTGTGTTGAAATTTATGAAATTCTGACAGAAGTGGTTGAGATGGATGATTTTGCTAATTTATGGGGGGGAAATATTGAAAATATATTTTATTAATAAAATAAAGATAAAATTACATGTTAAAATAACAAAGAATGGTGATTTATAGTAATTTTAGCCAATTCAATCAGAAAAGTAATTGCAATCTTACTTTTTCTTATTATTACACTATTCAACACACAAAATCGAAAGTTACGTGTTTGGTGAAAATTGGGCTGATAAGCCGAATAAAACAGTTATCAAACGGGCGCTTAATACAAGTAGTTTGAAAAAGTGAACACGTTATAAATGGAAGGCAATTACACCCTTCATATTGAAAAGTAAATAATTGAAACAGGGTCACATTAGTAATGTACTACGTCTCAACAATCAAAGGAGTTATTGAAGTAACTACATTGTTGTTCCCCTATACAAAGCTATTTATAATTGCACAGCCATGATTTACATCCAAATAACTAAGATGCAAGTATGTAACCCATACATGCTCAGGAAGTGTATTTTTATTTATATTACATCTGATCAATATATAAGACAGAGTTCTTGAATGCAAATCAGGCTAGATCAGTCATCTATCTCTCGATTTTCTATCCAGGATGTTAGATATTGAGACATTCACAAATGGATACCGCATGAACATTAGCATCTCATAAAAAAATCAGTGGCTACATATATCTTCTTTAGAGAGTGTGCTGCAATCATTATACCACCAGGAATCTCAGTAAATGCATTATAATCAGTCAGGGTGTATATAGTTTCTCATAAAGGCAGTCAAATTGAAATATGTTTCCTTCTCTTTGATAGCCTCCTTCAAAGATTTATCTTTAGAGCAAGTCATATATGAGTATAAGACCAACTTCCCAAGGAC